TGAATTGTTCGCATCAAAATGTGAGGTAGATTATGGACAAATTCACGTCTTGTGATCTATTTCATAACATTCACAAATTTTTGCGAACATGATACCAATCTGGATTGACCCAATCCAATCCAAATCCCCGCGTGTGAATACACTCGATATATATATATATATATATATAATATCTTAATATTGGAATAAATACCTTAACAACACCTGTTCCAAATTCCATATCAACAAGTTCAGCATCACATATAATTGGCATTTTTTTGTTTAGTAAAGGATGAATTACTTCTTTACCGTGAAGTGACTAAAAATACAATAAAATATAATATAAGATAGTTATTAATGAAATAATATAATAAAATATAATAATAAATACTTTATATCTTAAATCATCAGGATGTATCGCTAAAGCAACATCTCCCAACATTGTTTCAATTCTAGTCGTTGCCACAATTAATTCTTTAATTTCACAAGTGTTTGGTTCAACAACTGGATAAGCAATTTTATGCAAAACTCCAAATTCAATTCTAAATGTTAAATAATAATTAATTAATTAATTAATAACTAAATGAAAATAATTATAAATAATTATAAATATTGATAATAAATGTAATCAATTATTACTTTTCATCTCGACTAGGAATCTTTAGAAAAGTTCGTTTCGTTATAGTCTCATATTCTACCTTTACAAAAAAAGAAAGAGAGAGAGAAAAATGAGTATGTATGAAATAAGAGAGAATGAAAGATTAAAAAAAAATCACTTACTTCGATATCAGAAATAACAGTTCCTAAAGCACAACACCAATTTACAAGTCTTGTGTCTCTGTAAATCATTCCATCATTAAACATTCGAATAAAAGCATTATTAACAGCTTTTGATCTTATTGGATCCATTGTAAAGAATAAATTATCCCAATCTAATGAAGCTCCTAAACGTCTCTTATTTACAAACAATTAAATTGAATTGAATATAATTATAGTAATGATAGTAATAATATTTATTCAACAAATAAATTATAATAATTACTAATTGTTGAATTATTCTATTTCCGTACAGTTCACGCCATTCCCAAACTTTCTTTGTGAAATTTTCTCTTCCAAGATCATGACGAGTAAGCTAATTAAAGAAATGAATGAATTTTTTAAAAAAAGAACTTTTTTTTTTTCGAATTCGGAACTTTCGAATAATTCGTATAACTTACAAATTTTTTATTGTAAAGATATCTTTCCACTACAGATTGTGTTCCTATACCTGCATGATCAGTTCCAGGTATCCATGAAACATCAAACCCTTGCATTCGATACCATCTTACTAAACAATCCTAAATTTTTTATTATAATTATT